TCGCTATGTAGACCAGGTTGGCCTTGAATATACAGAAATGTGCTTGCTTCTGCCTCCAGAGTGCTGCCATTAAAGATGTGCATAACCACATCTGACTGACTGTCTACAGTTTTTAAGTCACGTATCTCCAAACATTCTTTGAGACTGGTTTTAAGTTAACTTACATACATGCATTTAGAAAAGCATTAAAGTGTAGAAACAAGAATTAAAAATATAAAGAAAGAACAAAGTAATGCAGCCAAGTATTAACCTTAATGTCACAAAAGCCACCGAAGAAGCATTTCATGTGTCGATTCTCATGGTCTGGTGTTTTCTTTGGGCCCTAGGGATTCAGAAGAGTATCCTGGGTACCTTCACATGAGGAAGACACTGGTCAATGAAAAATATTTTCATCCAATATTTTTTCTTCATAAATCTAAGGGTATGAAATTTAGTGTATTTTAAGCAAAAATGCTTTTGTAGAAAAACCTAATGCAGTGTAAACATAAGGCTTTTGACCTGATTTCATCAAGTGTCCACCATGTAGGAGCTAATTCCACTGTACCCACCTGTGACTTCCTCCCAACATCCTCCTGTTAAACCATGCATGGGACAGGACCTAAAGAAGGCCTCCAGGACTGTTGGGGATCAAAATTCACCCCAAATATTTGCATGTGTCCAAAGCCCACATAACCATGAAAGTCAGTCCCTGAAATCAAGATGTGGGTAATTAGGTCCTGATATGTCTGTCACTGAGTGTGTCACGGTGACCATATAGAATCCTGGTGTCATTTGATATAAACAAAAGTTGCCAGCTCAAAAGGCCTCCGCTGTCACTAAATGTGAACAGGGACAGCTGTGAACAGTCACAAACTGAAGACGCTTTTCTCAAAGCATTTTTGTGTCCATGGGACATAGATCTGAACACCATTTCACCTGCCTTCATTGTGGAAGAAATACTATGAAGAATTCTTGTGGGCTCTATGACCCATCTCCCTCCCCCCCCATCTTGGCTTCCTGATATCTTTTTGTTGCTCTTAGAATGATCCCAGGGCTTTGTGCATGCTAGGAAAGAAGTGAACCAGTGGACTCCATTCCTCACTTCCTTTACTTCTCTATTCAAGTACTATTTCAGTAAAGCGTCAAGCTGAGAGACAGCGATGGTGAGGGGCAGAAGTTAAGGAGGAAGTGATTGTTTCAAACCTTACTAAAAAGTCAAAGCAAATATTCTCTGGAAAATGGCATTTGGATAAGTTTTTTTTTTTTTCTGTTGCTTAGTGTTTGCTGAGGTCCAAGCATTTTATTCTTTCAACGCTAATAACTTAACGAGTAGTTTTTTTTTCAATGTGTCTTATTTTTACAATTCTAAATATTTTCTTCAAATTAGATAGTAAATCCTAGCCACCTTAGGATACTTTGGTTCTTCTATACCACGGGTTTGAAAATAGAACAAACTCACAGAAAAACACCTGTTGACAAGGAACTTCCTTCCACCTCTACCCATTTTTTTTTTCCAAAGTGTAGGCCAGGGAGACCATGGTGAGGTACACAGACATAGGAGTTTGCACAACACGCAGCAGAAGCTGGTTCTCTGGGGAGGGGCTAGAACTGACCCAGGAGAAGACACAGAAGAATAAGAAGATGCACAACAGGTGTAGGAGTCTGCAGAAATGGAGAATGTGCCAGGGCTAACCCAGAGCAGGGCATCCAGATGCAGAGAGCCATGCCAGGTGATGGCAGAGGCAGGGACTAGCTGGGGGGTAGTAACTGTTAGTGCTGGCAGTAACAGACTCTCAGAAGAAGACTCAGAATAGAACCTGGGGCCCTGAATAACAGCCCCACACAGGAAAAGAACAGCTCAAGCTTACCATGACTAAGTTCTCTCACAAATACTGGAAATAGTCCCACTGAAAGAAGAACGGTGCCTGAAGTTAAAAGATAAGAAAGGAAGAAAACAATGGAGGAAGGGAAGAAAAAGATTCAGTCAACAAATTCCAGACACGATACACAATTAAAAACATGAAAAAGAAAAAACAAGACAAAATATCTCCTCTGAAAATCACTAATCACATAATAATTAGCCTCCATGAGATGACCTGGAAGAACTTTCAGAGAATTCAAAAGCATAAGTATAACTCCTTACACAACTCAAAGAAGACACACATATGCTCCAAGAGAACCAAAACAAAGAGCCAAAATGAAAGAAATAAGGTGGTTGTACTGGCTAGTTTTATGTCAACTCAACACAAGCTAGAGTCGTCAGAGATGGAGGAGCCTCAGTTGAGAAAAATGCCTCCATTATATCAGGCTGTAGACAACCCTGTGGGGCATTTTCTTAATTAATAACTGATGTAGGAGGCCCCACCCCATGGTCAGTGGTGCTACCCCTGGATTGGTGGTCCTGGGTGCTATAAGAAAGCAGGCTGAGCAAGCCAGTAAGTATCACCCCTCCATGGCCTCTGCATCAGCTCCTGCCTCCAGGTTCATGACCTGGTTGAGTTCCTGTCCTGACTTCTTTCAATGATGAATTGTGATATAGAAGCATAAACTTAATAAACCCTTGCCTCTCCAAGTTGCTTTGGTCATGGTGTTTCATCACAGAAATAGCAACCCTAGCTAAGACATATTGGTACCAAGGTAATGGAGTATTTCTGTGACAGACCAGACCATGTTTACAGGGAGGATTGTGGAAGATGTTGGAACTTTGGGCTAGAAAAACCCTTGAGCTGAGAACTCAGTGAGCTGTTCTGTCAGAGCTTGGAAGATGAGAATGTTGAAAGCAGTGTAGACAATGAAAGCCTCGCTTGTGAAGTTTCAGAGGAAAAGTTCAAAGACTCTGTCAGGACCACATGCTATTGTACATTAAGATTCTGTCATTCTGGTCAGCTGGGGCTGAGGAACTGACCATAATTAACGAGAGAATAGCACTGTTGAAGTGATACCTTTGGGTTACTGGAGAAATTGATTCTGGTTAGCTGGAGCTAAGGAGTTCGAGGTGATTAAGAAGAGACAAGCATCACTGAGGGGAAACCTCCTTGGATGTGTTTCCTCAGGGTCGGCACACAGAAGGTGTATTTCAGAAATGGCTGAGGGTGTACCTCATGCTAACAGCTGAACTTGGTAGAGCCAGGATCACCCAGGTCGTACTGGTTGTGAGGGTCTAAAGGGGACACGGAGAGAAGCTGAGGCTTGGCACTGTGCAGCAGGGCTGCAGTCCCTGAAGAGAGCCCAGAAGAGGTCCCAGTGGCAGCAAGGGACCTCAGCATTTTGGAGATGCCAGTACCATGGCATGACCACTCAGAACAGCAGCAGCAGTGGAGTAGAGCCAGCTGGAACCTAGAAAACAAGCTGTGTGTGCTGCTGATGGCAGAGCTGGGGAAGTGACCCAAACCTCTTGAAGGGGCCCCGAAGATCAGGAGTAAATTCCAGATAATTAGACATCGAGTCATTGACACTGTTGGAGCTTGGTTTTGCTTGGTTCAGTTTGTGACTGTTCCCTGGCTCTTCCTCTTGAAGAACATGTTTAATTTTGATTTTCACAGGAGCCCACAGCTGAAATAATCTGAAATTTTAAAAGAGAGTTTGGATCTTCAAAGAGATGATATTCTAAAGGGACTGAACTTTTAATGTGTCCTAATTTGTAAGAACTGTGGGACTTTTAAAGTTATTTATGTCTTACATTGTGATGTTGATATTAATGGTCCACCTTGGGGATACATGAAAAAGAGAAGGTTCTAATTGAAACATGATGTGTTTGTGCATCAAGTTGACAAGGGGTCATTTGTACTGGCTAGTTTTATGTCAACTTGACACAAACTAGAGTCATCAGAGATGGGGCAGCCTCTTTGAGAAAAAAAATGCCTCCATAAGATCAGGCTGTAGGCAAGTTTGTGGGGCGTTTTCTTAAACAGTGACAGATGGTGGTCCTGGGTACTATAAGAAAGCAAACCAAGCCGGGCGGTGGTGGCGCACGCCTTTAATCCCAGCACTCGGGAGGCAGAGGCAGGCGGATCTCTGTGAGTTCGAGGCCAGCCTG